GGAGACGGACCGTTCGCTCCTGGGTGAGTCGCGCACGAAGTTTTCTCTCCCATAGAGAATGTATTTAGGAGATGCTAATGAATTTCGAAAACAATGTAAGAAAAATCCGAAAAATAATATAGCTACCTAAATTCACCATAAATCACCAGCGTTTTTGCTGTGACATTGAAAAAAATATCTCAAACATACGCCCACGCACAATCGTAATGCTACACTGGCTTGAAGTACTGCACAGGCTTACCCCTTCACCGGGTCCGCTTGCTCTGTGTATCAAGACGTCACAACGAATGGCGTGTATCCACTCCTGCATGCTATCTACTACTGTAGCTAGCCCGTGTCAGACTCTCCGCGAGCTACTAGCGTGGATACCGCGAGTAAACCAATGCTAATAGTCCAGCCCATCAATTAGCGGTACCGCGCATGCGCAGTGAGCAAAGGGTTTGAACTTCAGAGCTTTTCATTACACAAGTGCTTGTAACTAGACACTTCTTGGCTGAATGTGTGAAAGGTTCCTATGTAATGGTTAACACATTCTCAGATTTTATCCATTTGATTAGAATTCGGCTGTAATCAAATATATTATGTGCTTGACATCTGATACTTCGTGGCTGAATGTGGGAGGAGTTCCTGTAGGTAGAGAGTAAATTCTGACACATGATATTCCCAGTAATACCATAAAATCAATTTGTGCGCAACTGCCGACAGGGATTGAACCCTAAGCAGGTCAAGTAGCTAGCAGACATTATAGCTACAACTAGGCTTGGGTACATTATTCCGTTTTTCTGCCTATTATGCTATTCTCATGTGCTCACAGGTTTCACCTATTATTCTTTACATAAGTACCTATTATTTCCACACTATTAACCTATTATACGCTATAAAAACACTTTCAAAAAACACATTTATACAATCAAGAATTTCTGTTATATTGTAGCATGACTGAAGTTTCGATATAGTCTTCCAATGAGTGTGACTGTCTGTCCGAGGGGCTATTGTTTAGCAGTGAAAAAAACTTTCTGCTGCAGCTGAAGACTATACTGACAAAGAAGAATGCGTTCATGCATGAAGTTCACACGTTAGAAGACGGATGGATTTGGCAACGCATGAGTGTTTTCCCTCCCAACGTGTAGACGAGATTAGTCAGACCATCTACAATGCTGGCATAACTCCTTAGTGCTTGGGTTTCCCTATTATGCTCAGAATTATGCCAGTATAATGTACCTAGACCTAGCTACAACTGTCTCTCCAGAGTCTACTTTGAAGTGAAGCAAATACCACTGTTTAGGACACAAACAATGGGTGTTACCCGGTTTGTAGCTGAAATTCTACTCTCTGCAGCTAGCACTGCAGTAGCTACTTGGAAGCCCTGCCTTGCCGTATGCTACCAGCCAGCAGTATGGACCTTACCAGCAGCAGTATCCAAGGCAGCAGGTGGAACGGCAGCAGTACCTACAGTAGCTTATAAACTTAATGCCATCCTTCTGATTACCCAATGCAGCAGGTGGAACAGCAGTACCTAAGGCAGCAAATGGAACAGCAGCAGTACTACACCCTGCAGCAAGCAGAGCAACAGCAATAGGAGATCCAACAGGAGCAATCATTAACCCTCGGCGCGCATGCACAGCGAGGGTTACGGTACTTGGTCCGTAAGTTTTTCTTCTGTCTGTCTGTCAGTCTGTCTGTTACTTGTCACATGCTCCTATACTAATGCCAGCACCTAACTATCTCAAATGTATACGGTTTATTTATGTTATATTTTTGGTAACTACCTAGGTCATGTGCTTCTATAATGGATAATACTTGATTATGCGATTTTGCGATTATCAGTAACAAGCGGAAGCTTGACCTCCACAGAAGGAGTTAGACATCCACAGAAGCTGTGGTATCCACACGTTTCACAGAAGGCTCTGTGTCCATATCTTACAACTTAAGTGGAACTATGCCCATACAAGAATTCTTAGACTGTGTAACGGTGGGAAAGAGGCTTTTGAACAAATTAATGGTAATCTATACTCTACCATAAGGTTACTATTAATTGTAGCTACTAATTTTAGCGAGAATGTGCGCCAATATGCTCATGCGGGCGCATACCGCGTAGTATCCGCGCGGTGTTGCGCGCGTATAGTTTCACGTGTTTATACACTATATACTGGAGCTTCACTCTGGAGCCTGGAAACAAAAAGAAGGCCTTGCAAAGCTTTGTGGTGTGTGGTTCTACTTCAGTTGGAGCACAAGAGAAGAAGGATGAAAATGGATACACGCACAAACTTTGATTGGTTGTCATCATCACACAATAATGAAAAAAATCGCTAGAAGTAGTATATATACGCCAAAAATTATCTGTCCAAAAACGCTAAGACACCTAAACGTACGTTGCAGACACATACGTACGTCTAAAACGTACGTTGGAGACACATATACGTGCGTCTAAAACGTACGTTCATAACTGAATAGCTATGTAGGTTTTTAGCAACTGTCTTAGAACTAGATTTGCAGACTTCATGAGTAGACAGATTTAATCAGACATGTGTATACAAACATATGTACCTTGATTTAGTTATCATTGAACTTTAAAACATTGAAAGAACTTTTCAAGCAAATGCGAGGAGTTCAATTTTTATACAAAACATAGTTTATGTGAAATGTGGGAATTTAAAATAGCTCGTTTCGCTTGCCAATCACAATTTTGGCTAAGTGAGGGTATACTGTGCCATAACACAGTGGTTTGCCTTTGTCTTGGGTTGTATTGTGTTGCAGGATTCGAACACCTACCAGCTGAGTTGCCCTGTAGCTCAGTTGGTAGAGCGCCCGTGTAGACTGCAGTGTGCCTGGGTTCGGTTCGAATCCCACCGATAGTTTGTCACGGGCTAACTACACTACTAGATAGCATGCGGGAGTTGATACTCGCCCTGCTTTGCAACTTCTGGTGCCTGCAAGGTATGCAGAGCAAGCGGATCTGGTTGAGAAAGAGGGATTATGTATGGGGTCAAATGCCTGCCCAAGAGTCACGACACTATGTACGATTAATACTATACTTCGATTGAACATATGACAAAAGTTAACAGGGGCATTTACAATTTGCAGGAGGTGTCTGGCTCCAACAGGAAGAGATGTAGACCCAAACCCAGAACCTCCCTCCTCCTCTCTCCCACTTTAGTACTTTTCATTCCTCAAGAGCTTATTTTTATTGGAAACTGTGCCATGAGTCCTCCGACATGTCGAGTTTGTAGTGGAATGAGGGCTCCAACAGTATCACTAAAGGGATTTTGACATGTGAGCCACGGAAGTTAGGATTGTGTCTTTTAATAGTTGGAAAAGATACGAGACCTCAGCGACAAGATAGTCGACAAGGCCATATGTATATGAAGACATGGTAGCTAAGCATCAACCCAAGTTGCGACTTTCTCAGTAACTGAATACTCTGGCCCCAGATGGGTCAGATGATCCCACAATCGTTTGAGTGCATGAGGTTATAGTTTAGCTAGCTACTTGACAACGCTTGTCTTTAAGTATGTGATGGCCATTAGCCAGCAAATAACTATTAACTTGAAGTTTGCATGGTTGCTCATAGTCAGAGACGTCCCTTGTATTGATACTGGTGCTGCACGAGTGATGTATACAAAAACTCTGTCAGCCTCATTCTCCACTCTGCCCCTCTATACATGCATTAGCAATACATTATTAATACAACACACATGCAACAATAATGCTATATATATAGCTACTCAAGTTTTACCTCCAACGGTGTGTGGTAGTATCTCACCTCTGACCATAGCTGTGACATTTCAATCATAACACTATAATTGCACATGGTTAGTAGAGAGACACCAACCTGGTACATATCGGTCACATTCCTGGTATGTCAGTTATACGTGGTCATGTTTATACACAGGTGTCAATAACTTCAGATCATCAGTCACCTTCAATATAACTGACCTTTTTACAGTGCTAAAATTCTCAGTCTAGAGGTGAGATAGGGCTTGTTGATAGTGATCAATCAGTGGGCTTTCGTGAGCTATTATAATACTGATGATGATCAAACCGAGGATGGAATATGCAACTTATATAGTATTCTTTACCAGCTGTAATTCATAGTAGCTAGCTAAACCTTGTACAACTACATCACTGATATCATACATCACCTTATGATAAAGTGTGGGATGAGCATAATAATAGGCCCCTTTTTCCCGCGATACAGGATGTTAGCACTCGTAGGAATTGGACATTTGCTGTAACTTTCATTCACCACGCTGGTTCCTCCTGCAAGGGGCGGACCACTGGCAACAGTATTGGTGAGCAAAGCGGACCCACCTAGTCGTCTGAATGCGTTGTGTCCAGCACTGTCGCACTTCACTTACCGTAATGATCTACGTTACAATGACTTGTTTTGGGGTTGACACATAAGTCATTAGGTGTCTGACCAAACTAGAGCCGCATTCTACAGGTTCTCATGTGCTGCACACCTTCAATGGAAGCATTACTACATGTGGTATGTGTAGTCGGCCTCCACAGAAGCCATGGCATCCACACGTTTCACAAAAGGCTCTGTGTCCATATCTTTCACAGGAGAAACCCAATGCAAGTTCGACAGTTACTTTTGCTAGTTGTTAATGGTAGAAAACTGAATATTAGTAATCGCCAGTCTATAGCTTTTTTATATTTAACCATTGGGAGAAAATTGAAAAATGGGTTAGGAGGATCATGCAAGCGTGCTAGTTTTCTTAGTAGCTATAAGGCATAAAAGAAAAGTCAGAGGAGATTCTGCTCAGTATAATTATTATTGCACAAGCCCATAAAGACATTGACAGTTTTGCACGCTTGCAATCACAGGGGCACAATAAGCAGTCAGATGATGGTAAGCACCATAACAGTTGTTCCTTGAGGGAAAAGAGACTCGAATCCTGACAACTTTAAAAATGGTGCTGTTTGATCAGAGTTAAGTTACTTTTGGGAACAAGGTACGTAGCTACAATTTCCAATTAAACAAGCACAGTGCACGTTCCTTCTTAGCTGAATGTGAGAGGAGTTCCGAGTAAATCTGACACACAGCTGCAGTCAGTGTCATAATTCCTACTTATGCATAGAACTTGACTTGGTTGTAATAATTGAACACTATTGTGTTTCACATCTGATATTATATGTAGTTCTTGGCTGAATGTGGGAGGAGTTCCTAGGTAGAGAGTAAATTCTGTTACATGAGATTCCCAGTAATAGCATACAATCAATTTGTGCGCAACTGCCGAGAGTTGAGGATTTAACCCTGTAAAAGCAGGCTAAGTAGCAGACATGCTACAACTGTCTCTCCAGAGTCTACTTTGAAGCAAGTACCACAAAAATGATGAAGGCTACAATGTTTGCAGCTGCAATTTCTGTAACTAGCACTGCAGTACTTGGATACCCACCCTACCAGTATGTTGCCAGCCAGCCGTATGCTGAACAGCAGGTGGAACAGCAGCAGTACCCGTTTGCTGAACAGTAGCAGTACCAGTATGAGTACCGAGTAAATCTGACACACAGCTGCAGTCAGGGTCATAATTCCTACTTATGCATAGAACTTGACTTGGTATGTACTATTGTGCTTCACATCTGTAGTTCTTGGCTGAGTGTGGGAGGAGTTCCTAGGTAGAGAGTAAATTATGTTACATGAGATTCCCAATTTGTGCGCAACTACCAAGAGTTTCGAGGACTATAACAGCAGGCCAAGTAACAGACATGCTACAACTGTCTCTCCAGACTCTACTTTGAAGCAAGTACCACTCCTTACAACAAAAATGATGAAGGCCACAATGTTTGCAGCTGCAATTCTACTCTCTGGAGCTAGCACTGCAGTACTTGGATACCCACCCTACCTGGATGCTACCAGCCAGCAGTGCCAGTACCAGTATGCTGAACAGCAGCAAATGTTGGAGGACCAACAGGAGCAATCATTTGCGCAGGAAAACTTTGACCAGGAGCAGGCACTCATGCAGCAGAACTATCTTAAACTGTTTGAAGGAGGTGCTGCAGCTCAGCAGGCGGGCAGTTGCTTGGACATTAATATTCCAACTTTGGTGGGTTTCCTCAACGTCCGTGTATGTCCAGACGATAGCACTGGATGTGGGCTTGTCCGTGTTGTTCTGGGCACGCTTGTCAATACCCGTGTTGAAACCTGCAAGCAAGGTTCGGTAGATATAATGTGCACGTTGTAGCTATGTTTCAGAAATCATTATTATTCACAGGATGTATTAAAACACCACGTCCCGAGACCTTGTGTCCACAAGGAAGTCCTCCTGCCCTCATTAGCATTCCGATTCCTGGAGTCATGGTGAATGTGGACATCCGCCTCTTTCCACGAGTGTCAGTGTGTGTGAGGATGAAAGCTCCGGTATGCCGACCATGAAGGTATTAACTAACATAAACACAATCACGTGATGATTGCAATTTTGTTATATACTTACAGTGATTAATGATCCACATCTGGGAACGGACAACTTTAAACAGAATAGCTGTGTAGGTTTTAGCAACTGCCCTAGAAATGTTGCAGATAGTTTGGACTTATGTGTAGACAGATTTCATTAGACATGTGCATACAAACATGTGTACCTTGATCTCATCATCATTGAACATTGAAACATTGAAAGAATTTTCGAGCAAATGCGAGGGGTTAAATTTTCAGATAAAGCTATGTGAGGTTATTGCATTGAGTCTATTTGGTCGGCGGTGGCTGTCCCCATCATTCCTGAGTAGCTTTTATGTTTTGTAGCTCAAATGGCCACAGCCAGTGCTCACTGATGAGAATGAAAAGCGCTAAAGTGGGCGAACTGCTCATGCGCGATACTGGGCTGGGCACTCGGTAATAGTAACTCGCGGAGAGTCTGACACGGGCTAGCTACAGTAGTAGATAGCATGCGGAAGTCGAAACATGCCATTCGTTGTGACTTCTTGAGCCCCCAATGTAGCTACACAGCAGAGCAGGTCGCGGTAAGCCGGTGCGATTGCCTTTTTCGCTTGTTTTCACGCATTTTCTAGAACGCAGCCATAATATATTGAATGACCCATAATGCATGCATTGACGAGTTGCAAAAATTTGTTTATAGGGGGGACGTATAAATAGGCACCCGCAATATAATCATTTTTAAAAACTAACTAGACACTCATGATTTTCATTGCTAAATTTGAAATGTCTGCCACTATATATTCCTCCTAGAATTACTCAAGAAAACATTTAGGTGACTCATAATGTCAACATGTACCTTATCGCCCTTTTATTTTTCAGGCTCGCGTAGTTCTGAAGCCGCTGGTATCGCTAATAGGCCACCTCGTGGCCTGTAGTGCCAGAATAAGCGTCGACACACACACACACCTAGAGTAACAAGCCCACTTTCCCCCTTAGGAAGGGTGTAGGTAAACTTCCTGTGCATGCATACTACCTTCTTTTACTGTCACAACCTAAAGTAGGACTTACAAAAACAAACTGAACTATAGCATGACAACTAAGCTTAGCAAGACAAACTGACAATACTGTGCTTATACCAGACTGTGATTGGTCCCACCCCAGTGGGGCACAGGTCAGGAGATTAAAGGGACCGAAACCTGTGACCTACACGATGATCTGCTGAGGAGCGCCCCTGATGACTGGTGCTTATACATATGAAAAGCACTAAAGTGCAAACCCTCGGCGAACTGGGCGTGCGCGCGCGGTACCGCTAATTTGATGGGCTGGGCTGCTATTAGTATGCGTTTTTACTCGTGGTCTCCCGCTAGTAGCTCGCAGAGTCTGACACGGGCTAGCTACAGTAGTAGATAGCATGCGGGAGTCGATACACGCCCTTCGTTGTGACTTCTCGTGCCTTCAAGACAAGCGGACCCGAGCCCGTTGAAAATATAAGCGCATGCGCAATTTCCGCAGCGATAAAATGGCCGACTAGCATTAGCCGTACAATGGCGGAAGCGCTCTAGCTTCGCAACGGAGCGTTTTCAGAGAAAACTGTCCGATCGTTCTGACCTTCGTCGCCTGTTGGGTAGATGGTATCGTTTCTGGGACGAACAGACACCCGAGAAGTGAGATTGAGAGTAACAGACAGACAGACAGACAAACCCAATGAAAAGCACTAAAGTGCAAACCCTCGGCGAACTTGGCATGCGCGGTATATACCGCTAATTGATGGGCTGGCCTGCTATTAGTATGTAGTATACTCGTGGTCTCCCGCTAGTAGCGGCTAGCTACAGTAGTAGATAGCATGTGGGAGTCGATACACGCCATTCGTTGTGACTTCTCGTGCCTTCAAGATACGCAGAGCAAGCGGACCCGAGCCTGTTCAAAATATAAGCGCATGCGCATTTTCCGCAGCAATAATGAAAAGCACTAAAGTGCAAACCCTCGGCGAAGTAGCTCGCAGAGAGTCTGACACGGGCTAGCTACAGTAGTAGATAGCATGTGGGAGTCGATACACGCCCTTCGTTGTGACTTCTCGTGCCTTCAAGATACACAGAGCAAGCGGACCCATATAAGCGCATGCGCATTTTCCTCAGCGATAAAAATGGCCGACTAGCATTAGCCGTACAATGGCGGAAGCGCTCTAGTTCTGCAACGGAGCATTTTCAGAGAAAACTGTTCGAAATTTCTGACCTTCATTGCCCGTTAGGTAGGTCGTATCCTTTGTGAGACGAACAGACACTCGAGAAGTGAGATTGAGAGTAACAGACAGACACACACACACACAGACAAACCCAACTACAGTACCCTCGCTGCGCATGCGCGCCGAGGGTAAAAATGGCCGACTAGCATTAGCCGTAGGCGGAAGCGCTCTAGCTTTGCAACGAAGCATTTTCAGAGAAAACCGTTTGAAATTTCTGACCTTCATTGCCCGTTAAGTAGGTCGTATCGTTTGTGAGACGAACAGACATTCGAGAAGTGAGATTGAGAGTAACAGACAGACACACACACACACACACACACACTAACAAACCCAATGAAAAGCACTAAAGTGCAAACCCTCGGCGATGTAGCTCGCAGAGAGTCTGACACGAGCTAGCTACAGTAGTAGATAGCACGCGACAGTCGATACACTCCATTCGTTGTGACTTCTTGTGCCTTCAAGATAGACAGAGCAAGCGGACCCGGTCGAGGTAAGTCTGTGCTAAATTTAAGCGCATGCGTGTTATCCGCCAGCGATAAAATGGCGACTACCGGCATTAGCCATACAATGCTGGAAGCGCTCTAACTTTGCAACGGAGCATTTTCAGAGAAAACCCCACAAATTTTCTGACCTTCATTGCCCGTTGAGTAGGTCGTATCGTTTGTGAGACGAACAAACACTCGAGAAGTGAGATGTAGAGTAACAGACAGACAGACACACAAAACGACTACAGTAACCCTCGCTGCGCATGCGCGCCGAGGGTTAACTACTGTAACCCTCGCTGCGCATGCTCGCCGAGGGTTAACAAGACAAGCCTACCTGACGTTAAACGACATGACGCATCTGACTGCGGTGGGTAGGTAGTGGGTGGAGTAGCAACGTAGCGGGGATAGGTTCGGCAGCCGGGGAGGAGGAAGGTTCTGAAGGGGGAGGTTCGGTAGCTGGGGAGGAGGGAGGTTCTGGGTTTTGGTCTACTTCTCTTCCTGTTGGAGCTAGACACCTCCTGGAAATTGTAAATGCCCCTGTTAACTTTTGTCATATGTTCGTTCGAAGTACAGTATTAATCGTGCATAGTGTCGTGGCTCTTGGGAACCTTCCAAGGTTCGACTCTGTCCAGATCCCAGTGGGGCTGCCGCACTGCACTGCTGCCCATGAGCAGTACGTGTGCATGTCACACAGTGATTGATAAAAAAAAATGAAAAGCACTTGAAAGTGCATAACCCTCGCCCCTGGAGCTCCAATAGTAGTTTATTAGAGCCTATATTCAGCAGCCAATGGTTTATACCTCAGTGACTCATTCACTGAACAGATTCGCTCCCTGGCTCTCACTTAATTAACCCGGCAATCTCGGTCCTACTCAACTGTTCAATCAATACTGGCAGACCAGCAAATCTTCTCCACACACGCAAAGCATCTAGCATCTATATAAGATATACAACGATTGGTCGCGATCTCTATTTGACGCACACCCACCTCGGCAGCCGTCCGTTTCACCAGCTTCCCCGGGCTTCTCCGCTCCATAATCTTATTTTACCATGCATTCCTCCTAGTTGAAAATATGTCCACGTTTCACGCTCAGAGTTGCCGCGGTTACCGAGAAAAACGGTGGACAGACGGACGGACGGACACACGCACACACACACACACACACACACACACACTCACAGACCGACTGCGAAACCCTCGATGCGCATGCGCGCAGGCGAGGGTTAATAAATTGCAGAGCGCCTTACGTTGAAAGGCATATTGCAGTTTGCATCTGATTGGCCCCACTTTTCACTCTCTACTGACACTACACACCTAGCTAGGAGAAAAATTACTTAGAACCCGGGCTGGAGAGGTTTAGCGGTAATACACGAGAACATTTAATCATACGAATAATGTTCGAGTGGATTTCCGCTAAACCCGACAGTATCCGGGTTCTAAGCAACTTGTATCACGGAAAAGTCCTAGAATATACGGAGCCCGCCATTTCAGAGCCGTTTTCCGGATAGTAGCCACGTGTTCTGTAATGAGCGTCTCGCTGCCTACTGGATAGGCCTGTGCGGATTATTCCTTGTTTTTGCCCTATTATTCTTTTCCTCAATTCCTATGAAAGCTCCTATTATTCCCACACTATTCTCCCTATTATTCTCAAGTATTCTCAAGAAAAATGTATCAGATTGTAAGTGTAGTCTCTGTAGCTAACTATACAGCATGCTTTGAAGAACACTCGTGGGGAACTCGGCAATCTTTCTAGCAGTGCCAATCTCAGACTCAGCCTCAATTCTCACTGCAGCTTTGGCGACAACAGTTTCTCAACCCCCACAGGCATTGGTATCTAGCCGCCGCCATGGCATGTTTGCCCCGCCCCCTCAGCTAAAAAGCTGCCTATTATTCCTGAATTATTCCCGCTTATCTGCACTGCCTATTATTCCAAAAATTTTTGCGGAATAATCCGCACAGGCCTACTACTGGAGCTACGCCGAGAGACACGCGTCACACAAACACACAGTCCCTCATCCATCAGATATTGATGTTTACCTACTCCAGCACAACCAGGCCGGCAGAAATCCACACACCCCACCAGCATATGCATCACATTTACTCATGAATACATACAAGAATTGACCACAAGTTCGAGAGCCCACAACCTCCCTCCTCTCCGGCTACCAAACCTATCCCCGCAGAACCTCCCCCAAACCCAGAACCACCCTCCTCCCCAGCTACCAAACCTACCCCTCACAGAACCTACCGCCTCAGAACCTCCCTCCTCTCAGGCTACCAAACCTACCCCACCCTCCTCCCCAGCTACCGTACCTACCACCCCTCACAACCTCCCTCTTCCCCAGCTACCAAACCTACCTCTCACCGAACCTACCGCCTCAGAACCTCCCTCCTTCCAGGCTACCAAACCTATATACCCCATCAGAAGTCAGAACCTCCCTCCTCCCCGGCTTAATTTTCCGTTAGGGACAGTAAGAATTATACTGCGACATCTCTCTTAGAAAAGTGGGAGAGGAGTATGTCAGGCAGCAGCTATAGCTACCAAACAAAAGTGAGCAACTAACAATTATTGGTGTACTAACTTAGTAGTAGCATGTTTGTATTGAGGGAGACCGCTGGTTGATAATATTCTTATATATTTCCTCCTCAGCTGCCTGACCACTCCAGTCCTCCATCCCCTCCCTCTCCTTCTCTCTGTGAGGCTGCTCCTTCCTCAACTCCTCCTCATCTCATGCCTTCAGTTCTCCCTGTCCCTCCTCTCCCCCTACCTCTCCCTCCCTCACAGAAGCAGCAACCCCAGGAGCCAGCGGCGCAGCGGTGCAGTTCGAAATGAAGGAACAGACGTTAGGATCCTGGTCTTCTCTCTCATGTTAGCTATATACTGGTTTATTTTTCTCACCTACTGGTCAACATGCAACCAGTTCATGTCAGAGGTAATAGCAAAATTTGAAAATATACCTGCAAATGAGGTTAGTAGCTACTATACCTTTTAGTTTTGAATGTGCACAATAACTATCCATAGGTCTTGCAGGAATTGACACTGGGTAAATAAAAAAACGAAGAGGAGGTTTCATCAGTGTCCAAAGTTACAATTCACCAAATATTAAATACAGTACGGATTATAAAAGATGTTAAAAGATGGATGATTCAAATAGTGGGCACTGGGCTAACATATTTTACCCTCGGCGCTCATGCGCAGCGAGGGTCGCAGACTTGGTAAGTGTGTCTGTCCGTCTGTTACCACGTTTTCACATGTAGCTAAAAAGCGACACCAACGGGGTTCAGCGCTACACTGGCATTATTTAAAAAATGGCGATTTTCGTGAAAGTGCCACGTTCAGAAGTTATGGCGTGAAAACCAAGTGCACAAGCCAATTGCAAATCAGCACAGGCTTACCTCGACCGGGTCCGCTTGCTCTGTGCGTCTTGAAGGCATAAGAAGTCACAACAAATGGCGTGAATCGACTCCCGCATGCATCAACTACTGTCGCTAGCCCGTGTCCGACTTTCCGCGAGCTACTAGCGGGAGACCACGAGTAAACGCATATATACTAATACCCCAGACCATCAATTAGCGGTATCACACATGCGCAGTTCGCCGAGGGTTTGCAGCTCAGTGCTTTTCATCAGGAGGACATTGAAACTGAACGAAAAATGCAAGTTAATTTAGCTAGAAGAACTCTGTTTATTATTCGTATGTACATCAATTATTTTCCAGGAGCAGTCCTCCTCCAGGAGAAGATTATACTACGTACTTTGTCCGTATCATATCCATCGTTTGATGTTCGATGGTGGATATTATTATTCCTTCCGCATCGGCAGCAAATCCGTACAGTTAGGGCTGCAAAATCGAATTTTATGAGCAGCTCAGGCTGTGAGGATAACCATCGCTGTTGGGACGCGCGTGCGTCTTGGTACCGCCACGAAAGGTGTGGAGCAACAATGGGAGGCCTAAAGCCCGACTATATACCGTTACGTTTTTTCAGCCTCTCTGGACTTCTTGTGAACACAACCATGACTTCAAACAAAGTGTAGCTAGCTAAAGTTAGACGGTTCGGTGGTATCCGCGTTAGCTATCGACACGAGAAGGCATTCCACCACATGGTGACGTCACGCTAATAGAACTCCATCCATTGCGCCACAGAAACCCGGAAATCAGACGAGGCATGACATCAAATGGTGCCCACACGTCCGGTCGCACTCACGTGTATGCGCGCCATGGCAATCTGTCAGTCGCTAGTAAGCTAGATGAGGTAGCTTCTCTCCAGTGAATCCTGCAACAGTTTGGAACATAGAAGTTCCACGCACGACCTGCAACACAGCAGCATACCTCATGTCCTTTTTATTGCTGTGAGACAACTGACTGACTCGCGTGCTCCTCTCCCTCGCAGAGGGGTTGGGTCTGGGACCCAGAGTCGGCCCTACACCAAGAGAGGAGGTTCGACAGGAAGCCAGGCTGGATGGTCGCGCAATTAGCTACGTACTTGCGAAGTGCATATATACTTTCGTGAGGGGTGCAGTGGTGAAAGTTTTTTTACGACGCACGTTTGACCCTGTCGAACCTCCTCTGTCCCACACCCATTCGGGCGCCTCCGTGCATGCGCACTGTTTGTTACTGCATAAGGTCTGCAGCGTATAAAACCAGAGACGGATTCTATAAGCAAAAAGCTCCATAGCTACCGAGTTTGCACCATTTAAAACGGAGGGGACCAACTAAGGCAGAGTAAGAAAATATGCGACTTGCAATTCTTGCACTCACTCTGGCTATGCTACTTGCGGCCTCATCAGCACACGTACCTGCGGAAAGGCCCTACTATCCTGCGCCCAAACCGATTCGTATTCAGGCAGAACAACCCACCTATCCTGTGGCCGAGAATGAGCAGCAGAGTAAGTACAACATGAGGTGAAACTATAACAACAACAGCATCATTTTAGGTATAATTATACTATACACTTCATTAGTTGATGTCAAAAACTGCACTTACGGTAGCTATTCCTATTTTTCAGCCCCAGACTCTTGTGCTATTCAAATAGGGCAGATAAAGTGTAGTTACTCTAACTCCTAGGGTGAGAAAAGATGGTGTGAGACTTGTTAGCAGAATAAGCAGTCCAAAACCCTTTTGCGCCATTTTCAGGAACAAAGAAGAAAGCAGAGTAGCTACCTAGATGTTTCCTTGCAGCTGGGAAATGGCAGCAGAGGTCTAAAACGAAACTTATGCCTCAAAACATTAGCTGCAAAAGCAAACAATGTAATTAGCTCAACAAACAAAGTATGCAGAGTAATAAGACAAACAAATATTTAACTCTTACCTAAGCACGCACCCTGCTCATCCTTGACCCTGTCCTACAAAACCTGCAATAGCTAACCCTACCATGTGTGCTTGTTCTGTTCTGTCTTCTCCTCACTCCCAGCCTGTACCCCACTCTATGAACCATGCTTGTCACCCTCCGAATGCTGCAGTAATCTTTGTGAAGTGGTAGTTTTTTTCAACTATTGTATCGATGAACATTTCTGGGACTATATATACGACTACTGAGTGGTGCTCAAGAAGAACTGACTATAAGACTTATTGCTGTGATCTATGCTTTTTAACGTTTAGATACTGATGGTGTGCACACACACTTATTAAATTCATTATAATTGTTGATGAGTGTTGCCAGGAAGCGTTGCATAAGTTAACTATTGTGATCTGCTGCAGTGGTGTGAGCAGCAAAAAGGATCAACAGCTTACTGACAATGCACAACTCTCTCACTGATTGTCTGTTGAAAGAGTGAACCAACCTGGTGTACAGAGTACAATTAAACATAATTCTAAAGAATATATGTACAGAGTACATAATTCTATATAAAAAAGGATAGAAAACCTTATTCTTATTCATGTTATTATTATTATATACCTATGTGACCTTAGTATCGTACCTTTTAGTTACGGGAAGCTACTTCTTGAAGCAAATTACTCAAAGTGACTGCTATTTGGCACAATACTGCAGATATTCTTGTGTGCAATCCAACAGACATTTGGCACAATCATGAGAACCTGACTCAGATCCCCTGACCGTTAATTGAAAAGACTTTTGTGCCTTCTTCTCATTCTGACTTCTATGAAGAAAGAACCACTCTGATAGTAGCAATTGGTGCAATCATTATTGCTACTGAGGACATTTACAATGATGAACATTTTTCAGACAGTAGTAGAAAAATGTAAAATTTTCACCCTTTTATTTCAGTTGTTCACTGTCAGAATGATTATATATACCGACAAACGAATTTTGTTTCTATCTACTGCGGAACATACTGCACTTTGGTATTCACAACAGTTATTTCTTTCTATTTGCACTCGACTGCATTCATGGCATCTCAGTAGTGGGACCTCTCTCCCATAGTCTAGACTAACACACACACGGCTGAATAACCACGTGGACCATCAGAATAAACACAGTCTCGAGATGAAAATGTAAAGTTTATGAGGCGTAAAGAGCTGTTCCACCAGCTTCTTTGAGGCATAGAAAGAGTGTGAGAATGTTATTTTTGCAGTACATATAGAGTGACTATAATTATACATCATGCCGGATATGATGTTTGAAGATACACTGTTTTTTTTACATTGCCATCCCATGAGCTTATTCAACAAACCAAAAACTGAGTGTTTGCTCAGAATGTCTAGAGTATTGCTCAAATAAGAACATAATGAGATCCCATGTGTGCACTGTGGTTTGTCATCATTACATCGCCATCCCATGAGCTTATTCAACAGACCAAAAACTGAGTGTAAGCTCAGAATGACATTCACGGGCAGATGTTACCTGATCAATGATTTCATTCACTGAGTCAGTTATGAAGTGTGTGCACTTTAGGAGAAACGGCATGGAATTTAACAAACAAGGGATTAAAATTCCAGAGCAAACAAAACAAAATGGTTTTAACCACACAAACAACTTTTTAACGAAAAACATTAACCTGAGTTGAAATTCACGAGTGAAAGCAAACACTACTTGTTTATGTAGCAGGCAAAAACAGAGCTCAGTGGAGGTCCCTTTGCAGCACAAACAGCCACAAATATGCCACCACCCATGCACCCCTAACACTGTCTCTCAGACCGTTGTATATACATCGTTAGTCCATGAAAAAACATGTTTATAGCATACTATATAGTTAAATGGAGGAAAAGAAAGAACCCTTAAACCCCCCCTTCCCCCCCCCACCAAGCACACAAAACACAGACAATAACATATAAACAGAAAGAGAGAGGCAGGACCCATGTATACGTGTAATGCCTCTAAAAGAAAATTAATTGTGCAAAGAGGAAAGTGTGGTGTGAAAGAACTTTAGATGGTCCGTAGTAGTTAAGTGGGGAGGAGAGAGGGGAGAACAGACTTGTCCCTGAAATTTAGCTAGCTAACTACTTGTGTGAATGTCATTTTGAGAACAAACTTCCACCAAATGCACATCGTAATAATTATATATTTGACTGCAGTAGCAAAGGTGACATAATTTTATGAACCAAGAATGCATTATTAAGTAATGCTCAGTGAACTTTGAACAACTAAGTGATTAAAAAATAGTGGAGTGAAATTACATCTTATATAGCGTCAGAGAAGGAGGTATCAAAGAGTGCTCTCTTTGGTAGAGTCCAGACCCAGTTGGCAGCTCTGGTGAGCCTCCACTGTCGCACAGTAGGCCACCAGCGAGACACCTGGATGCTGTACTTGACCTTGCACAACTGGTCCAAGAACCAGTCAAACCAGACGAGGCGGAGGAAGACAATGAGGAGAAGGTGGACGGGGTTGAGAGTTGTCTTGCGATGGCTCTCCATCGTGGCAATGGCCTGGGCTTCGTGTTTCGGTTCGTTTAGTCGGAATGTGGCTGCATTATAAGGGGCAAAGTGTGCGATGTACCAGTGGTAGGGATTCCTTTTGAACAGCTCCCAGTAATTGGGGTAGATCCCTGCTAGACGGGCTATATCATCAATGTAGGTGAACCCTTCCACGAGTCCTTCGAGTCTACAAGATGAATGCTTGAAGTATTCCCGCCAATGAGCCTGATCCTTGGCTAGCTCAGCCTGTCTCTCCGCCAGTGGCTTGAGGGAGACTCGTTTACTGTATACCCTGGCAACCCATCGTGCCTGCAGCTCAGATACGCCAACAACTGATCCCACAACTGGTCGTACGAAACCGACAAATGCTAGACTCGGATCCTCCACGTTAAAAACGAACTTGTAGTGCTCCGCGATGCTCATATTGGTGTAGGTGTCGGAGACAAAGGGGAAGAACTTTTTGTAGCCTGTGGACATGATGACGATATCAAACTCTTGTTTTGTTCCGTCAGTGAAGTGCACCTCACGACCCTCGCAATGACTGATCCCTGCCTTGGGGACTAGGTGCTTGTAGTCCACCAGTTCCAAGACTCGTCCGTTCTTGTTGACGAAAAAGTGGAAGAAAGCTGCATTATTGCGCCACTCAGGGATACCGTGGCCCTGGTAGGCCAGCAGTGATCCGCTGGTTGTCCACTTGCAGATCCATGAGAGCCCCGGCTTGCTGCGAGTGTAGGGGGCGATGGTCTTCATCATCCGTGAAGATGCCTTGTCGATGGCCTGCGGCCTTCCCCAAGGAACCACTCTGCCAACCTTCCTGAAGAAGTGCTGGCCACGCGGAATGCTCCAGTAGATAAACCGGGAGATTTTGTGGAACTCCATGCAGATGTCGCTCCCGGTTTCCCCTCCACCTACCACTAGAAGTCGCTTGTCCTTGTGTTCCTCTGTCACTTCCTTGATCTCTCCGGCATGGTACACCTTCCCTGTGAACCCCTTTAGAACGGTGCTCTCCAGCTCCCTGTTTTGTTTCTGCTGCGGACCAGTTGCTATCACGAGGTTTGAACTGGTATACTCGTCTCCGTTTTCACACAGAATCCACCACAAGTCACCTCTCTTTTCAGCCTTCTCTACGCCTGTGTTGAGCCTGATATGCGGGGTCAGACCGAAACGTTCGGCGTAGCTGTGCAGGTACCCGAGTACGTCCGTGTGGTGCGGGAACATGCCGATCTCCTCCGGCATCGGGGAAGTCGGACATCTCTGTCACAGTGGACGAGGAGGTGCAGCGAGTAGTCTTCATGACCGTGACGGTGTTGGGATCGTCCGAGTACAACCAGACTCCACCGATGTCGCTCTTTTTCTCCAGAGCCACCACCGAGAGCCCTTCCTCCAACATATACTTGCACGCCACCAGTCCCGACCAGCCTGCGCCGACGACCGTCACGTCGTGGTGCTTTGTCGACATAGGCTCTCGGTTACTCGTCTTCTCGATTTTGCGATCTAGATTATGCGGATAAGGGCTGCGACATCCAATTATATATACCACTGTGGAAATGCTTGGCATTCTTTGTGCAAGCGTCATTGAGCATGAATCAGTCATGTCTCAACAACTTGGTAGCGAGGTAGAATGGCAAGGCAAGGCAAGGCAAACAAGCCAACTACAACGCATGCGTATACTTATCTATAGTATCTCGGAGCCCTCTCTAAGAAGCTGGGCTGGCTCCGCGAGACTAGTGAGTAAAATCAGCTGACTACCAGCAGGATGGAGAGCTAGAGTAGAAACTTGCGCGGGCGCACTCAGCGTGTTCGTTTTGCGGGGCGCGGGGCGTGGCATTCACACGTGTCTGGGTACAAAGGGCGGGTGTTTCCCGTCCGTATATACGTTTCATGGCTAAAAAGAGCGGTTTTGACTTCTGGAGGAGTACCCTACAGGGAGCCAAGTATGTGGTGGCTCCAATGGTGGACCACTCGGAACTGGCCTGGCGTCTTCTCAGCCGAAGATACGGCGCTCAGCTCTGCTATACCCCCATGCTCCACGCCGCCGTTTTCGAGAGAGACGCCAACTACAGACGAGAGCATCTGGTGTCCATTCCTGATGACCGACCCCTTATTGTACAGGTATATGTAGCTATACAACATACAGCCGACTCTGATGTGAGTATATACTCTAATTAATGCGCATTTGCTCCCAGTTTTGCGCCAACGACCTTCGGACTTTGTTGGAGGCTGCGAGACTGGCCCAGCCTCACTGCGAAGCCATTGACCTCAACCTTGGCTGTCCACAGGCCATTGCCAAGAGAGGTAATGCTACAGTAGGGTCTCTCCACTTCACCATTCTCAAACCAGGTCACTACGGTGCCTTCTTACAAGATGAGTGGGAGCTACTTACAGATATGAGTGAGTTATTCATATTATATAACATCAGTCAATTTCTCAGTGATTCTTTCTCCCTCACCTGTATATACGTAGTTGGTCTTCTGCATCGGGAACTGAGTGTACCTGTCACGTGCAAGATCCGTGTTTTTGAAGACGTGGCGAGAACAGTCAGATATGCACAGATGCTGGAAAAGGCAGGATGCCAGGTGGTTAGCGGGTCTACCCCATTTGTTAATAAAAAGATGCTCTTTGGGTGTTCATGATGGACACACTTTATATCAAATTCCCAACAATGGACAAGTATTGTTTGCCACAACAATAAGGCTGTATGGTATGCGTGCATCAAAAGGCGTTTTAGTTTGTTTTATGACTCTGTTGTGTTGTTCTTACAGCTGCTGACAGTTCATGGTCGAACCAGAGACCAGAAGGGACCAAAAGCTGGTCTTGCCAGCTGGGAACACATAGCGGCTGTCAAGTCAGTATATATAATAGTATTTTAACATAGTATGTGATCAACTTTTGTGTTTATGATTTGGTATACGCATTTCACAAAAAATGTCACAAATTCATTATCACACTGTTCAAATTTATAGAATTTCAGGAGGAATGGGGAAATTTGCTATGTAATATGAGAGTATTATTGTAGGGTTGTCTCCCTATGCACAGATGCAGTGTGAATATCCCGGTGTTTGCCAATGGCAACATCCAGTTCCTCAGAGATGCCGAGAGATGTCTCCTGGAGACCGGGGTCAACGGGGTCATGACTGCAGGTGGTTAGACCCTGTAATTAGTCCTCACAAACACCGGAATGTATAATATGTCTGAGGGATCTTGTTTATCGTTTTATTATGGGAAAAGTGATGCTGGGTCTAGATTAATGTTTAAGTTCAGGTCAGGCACGCATGGGCTAAATGAGGAATTGGGTAGGCATAGGGGGAGGGAGGGGGTGGAGGAGTGCCTGTTGTGTGATGATGAGTGTGAAAGTGTGAGTCATGTGTTGTGGGAGTGTCCAGCATATAGTAGTCTTAGGAGCAATTTCTTAGTTGCCCTGCAGGGGAAGCTTGGGGATGATGGGTTTGAGCATTTCCAGTCGCTTGATAGTTTCAGGAAAGCATCCTTTATATTGGGTAGTGAACTGTGGGAGGATAAATTTGGTTCTTTGCTTGGCCTTGTTAAAGATTTTATTTTGGATGTTTGGGAGCTAAGAAAGGTTAGGTTATACGGCGATAATCCCAGCGTACAAGAGACCCAGTCTCAGATTGCGTCTGGGGAGCTGCAGGGTGTCGCTGGTGGAAGGGGTGAGTTGAGGTGTCTGGGAGGTGAGACAGGCACCTCATGTTCATATGGTGTATGTTCGTTTGTTAACGGTTCCGCCCATTGCTCTGGGTGCGTGGTCTATGGCCCTAGTGCTATGGCAGCCACCTGAGTATTATTATTATTACTGCACGTCAATGAATGATGTGGAGTCATGTAAGGACAGGGTTTAACAGGGTTACAACACTACATACCAACTAGTATTGTACTCACACACTGTCTAACCTCCTTGTCCATAGACTCCATACTAGTCGGGACTGAGCTGTGTGCGTTCACGCAGGCTACATACATACCGCGTTTGATTTTAGTTTTGCAACTCTTGCCCACAGAAGGGAACCTGTATAATCCAGCCATCTTTACCGGGGAGCAGCCTCCTTGCTGGAGAATGGTGGAGGAGTATCTGGCGCTGGCCCGCACCTACACCCCTCCTCTCTCGTACATCCGCGGACACGTCTTCAAATTGTGGCTCCATGTGTGAGTTGTGGTATATATTATCTGATATTGGATAGAAAAGCGTAGCTGAATTGCGCGGGGTAGTCCATATTGCACTGTCCATACTCTGAAGCCTAAAGTATGCGTAAGTTTTGCAGTGGTCTTCATTGCACATGTGGCATTAACGAAAGCCCTGTGCGGCATAGCCATATTTTTGCTGGGATACCAGGTGGGAAATAATAGTGTGGTGTGTGGAGATGTGCCGCGTATCACACGCGTGTGTGTGTGTGATGTGTAGTGCAGTCTGCAGAGACCCGAGTACCTACACTTCAGAGAGAGGTTTGGCTGTGCACGCAGCATCGACGCTTTTGAACAGATCTCGGCCGAGCTGAAGGCTCTTGTGATGGTGAGCCAGACACCCTCAGATCTAGCTTACCCTAGAAGAGTCTTGAGTAGGGTGGTAGGTAGTATCAAGGATATTTCTGTAATAGGAGAGGCTGTCAGAAGAGGAATTGAGTGGAGAGTTTTCCCTGGATGATGTCCCATTCTGGAGATGTCACTCCTATGTCAGACCCTCGTATGTCACCTCCATCTGTATTCATACCACCCTAGAGTGAAACATGGACACATTGGAGACCGGTCATTTTGTCCTCTCTAGAGATGTTGTCCTCTTTCGGAAGTTCTCCCTAAAATCATACGAAATCAATATTATTCAACGAAATAAGCTACAGTTGCCTTTGCTCAAGACAAACGTTTCCCCCAACAAGAAAATACTATTCAGTATCTCTCTCTCTCTCTCTCTCTCTCAGTCCATGTGACGCCCCCAAGGCCAAGCAGAGTTCTCCAAACAATGAGTCTGCTGGAGACTCTAGCAATCTCACTCATAAGATAAAGAAGAGGAAGCAGCCTCAGTCCTCAGTGGCCGTGGAGCCAAAAAGTAAAACATTCACTTCTGTGTTTATTTATAACTTGGACTTTTTTGCTTTCCAGAGCGTCGATGGGACATTTGTGTTGCTTGTAAAGGGAACCCAAGAGTAAGTGTTGAAGCGTTAACTTTATGAACTCTTCAGTAGCCCTGTTGTTGTGCCAGGGAGGAAAGTGTGAGCACATGATGTGCAAGAGCTGCTGCAAGTCACACTGCTGGCAGAAGAGTGTTTGCTGCTCTGGTGAGCACCTCTAATTCACTATCATTGATGACAGGGTCTCTCTCTCTCTCTTTCGTGGTGGTGTGCAGGTCACAAGTTCCACATCGGACCCAGCAGATTGAAGAAGGAGCAGGGCAGTGAGCAAGGGGAGAGGGACACAAGTGTCAATTATGACTCTTGATATTTGCTGACGTTAACATAATCCTGCGCATGCGCTGTGCTCTGCTGCATGACGGTGTACAACTAAATGGCGGCAGCGAGGAATAATAAGCAACTCTCCCTAATTTCTCCCCTTCAGCGACGTCCGCTTCGTTCGAACCGTCACCATGTACGCCCTACTGCTCACAGGAGACTCTTGCTGGAGGTGGCGTTCAGGCTCCGAACGTACGAGGTTGAAGAGCTCGAGTTTATGGTCAAGGACGTGGTCGTGGCGCCAGCTGGTGATTCGCTGACAACGCTAGGGCTTCTGGAGACCCTAGAGCGGCACAGGCTGCTGGGTCCTGGTGAATACACTACCCTCCGGGAGTACCTGAAGAAAATTGGCAGAGAGGATTTAGCCGCTCTTTTGGCCCCTCCTGAGGAAGTGGGGGCCTCCACCTGCACCCGTACGTCCCTTCCCGGCACTCTCGCCCGTATTGCGACTCGTCTCGGGATCAACACGGTGGTGTGGCCGTGCAGCACGTACAGGAGAAACACACTGGAGGTGTTTAGAGGACTGTCGAAAGTACAAGTGGAGCAGATTCGATGGCTCTCGCAGGATTTCTTTGGCGAGAGACTCAAAACGTCCTGGGCGAACGAAATGACGGGAGTGGAGCTCCTGAACGCATTGGAGTGTAGTTGTCTACTGGGACCTGGAAACTACACGTTTCTCATTGACTGCCTTGAAGAGATTGGTCGTCCAGACCTGATGATTCACATCATGCCCCCCAGCCTCCCTCACCTCCCTGCCTCCATGGATATCCCCGCTCTGCTTCACCACGGACACGTTCAGAGAATGCAATTGAAAAAGACTCAGTACCAGTTTGGAATGAAATGCTTGAAAATGGTGTCCGATGTTCCCTCTAAGATCACCGCCGAGCATGCAGGTGGCTGGTACAAGCAAATTCTTGGGGGGTTGTCCCCAAAACCGGCCGAAGCAAACTCCAAATCTAGCTACATACTCGAAAAACTCCCAGATACACTCATCAACATGTCTCTCCACCTGAACGATCTCCACAGTGCCTTGTCGGAATATGAAAGCAATGGGGACACAGCGGCGTTCGCTCAGTATATTTCTGCCTCCAAACACCACCTTGATATACTGCAGGGGTTGATGGAGGAAATTGACTGGGATCGAGAGCCCCGCAGAAGTGAGAGGACTGCCACTTCTCGGCAGTACCACCCAGTGAGGCAAGCCTCATACGGAGCATTCAGCGGCATTGCAGAGCTCCTGCTCGAGTTCAGCGGTAGCAGAGAGCGACTGCAGGAAGAATCGCGACTCTTGAGCTGTGCCCTTACCCGTATCGAATCGCTGCTTTTCCTGTGTGGGTACATGTGGTCACTTACATCGTGGATGATTGCGACACTGCAGGTAGCGGTCTGTGCACCAGTTTGTCTCACGGAGTACGATTTTCTATTTCGACTCCTGCTCCATAGAAACAGACAACTCATCTGGAGCAATAGTAGAATGCTCGACATTGTGCTTGGTCCCACATCAGCGGGGAAACGACTCCTGAAATGCTTCAAACAAGGTGCATTTGGTGATAAAACGGAACAGATTTCCCACCCGTTTCATGTGGCAGCCACTCCCTTTCCAGTGTTCGCTTTTGTGCTGCTTTTACTGTCTGAACATCCTACTTTTTCTGCAGAGGACATGGAAGAGATAATAGAATCTCTGAAATACTATGTTGGGAGCCAAGAACAAACTTTTTGTCGGATTTACGATTATGTGACTGCAATGGTTCTACGTAACATATCGAGGAATATCGAGACATTCAGGCATGCAAAATTGCAAGAGTTCCAGTCGCAGGATTTGCACGGCATTGAAGAGATCTTCAGCTTCTGAAACAGGACCCCTCTAAATTGCTCTCGAAATCACAACCAGCCCTTTACAGCAGGAATACAGAAACACCCTTATACCATACGATGTCGTGTGTGTTAGCACATAGTTGTGGGCATGCGCGCGCGTTTGGCGCCTTTCGGTTATGGTTACGCGCGCGCGTGTAGGCGCGCTGAGAGCGGAGGCGGGGACGGCACCTCTAAGGCTAATATGGAAGCATCGAAGTCGAAGAAGAGAGTTTGTGTCTCTCTAGTACCTCTCGCTCGACGTCCGCTTCGCTCGAGCCGTCACGTAGTCCCTACCACTCACAGAAAGCTACTGCTAGAGGTGGCGTTCAAGCTGCGGCCGTGCGAAGTCGATGAGCTCCGGTTTTCCGTCAAGGATGCGGTGCCTGACGAGACTGCGGCCGACGCCCTTACGGCGCTCGGGTTACTGGAGTGCCTGGAGCGCCACAAACTGCTCGGTCCGGAGAAATACGCGATCCTGCGAGGATACTTGGAGGAAATGGGCAGAAGAGATCTCGCAGATCGTCTTGCCCCTCCGGAAGAACTAGGGGCCTCCACCCGCACTCGCCCGGCAATCCCCGGCACTCTTAGCCGTATTGCGAAATGTCTCGACATCAATTGCACGGTGTGGCCGTACAGCACGTACAGGAGGAACGCGCTGAAGGTGTTCAGGGAGCTAGGCGAAGGAGAAGTGGAGCAGGTTCGATGGCTCTCGCAGGATTTCTTTAGCGAGACGTCCTGGGCGAACGAAATGACAGGAGTGGAGCTCCTGAACACATTGGAGAGTAGTTGTCTACTGGGACCTGGAAACTACACGTTTCTCATTGACTGCCTTGAAGAGATTGGTCGCCCAGACCTGATGATTCACATCATGCCCCCCAGCCTCCCTCATCTCCCTGCCTCCATGGATATCCCCGCTCTTCTGCGCCACAGACACTTTGAGAACATTGAACTAAAGAAAAAGCAGTACCAGTTTGGAATAAGAAACCTGATGATGGTGACACAGATGGCCTCACAGAACACTACACACATGGCAGTTGGATGGCATAAGCGCATTCTCGGAGCCCTTTCTCCAAAATATCTAGAAGCACACTCAAGTTTCATTATTGAAAACCTGCCAACAACCCTCATCAACATGTCTCTCCACATCAACGATCTCCTTGATTCGGTCCAGGAATACGAAAGACACGGCGACACGGCCAAGTTTGCCAGACATGTCTCGGATTGCGAGCAGCACCTCGATATCCTCCAGAGCCTAATGGAGGAAATTGATTGGGACCACACCCCACGTAAGAGGGAGAGCATTGCCACATCTCGGCAGTACCATCCTGTGAGGCAAGCCTCATACGGAGCATTCAGCGGCATTGCAGAGCTCCTGCTCGAGTTCAGCGGTAGCAGAGAGCGACTGCAGGAAGAATCGCGACTCTTAAGCAAGAAGCTCACCAGACTCGAATCTCTCCTTCGTCTCTCTGGCTACATGTGGTCGCTCACCTCCTGGTTGATTGCCTTGCTCCAGGTGGCAGTTCGCTCCCCCGTGTCTCTCTCAAGGTACGACTCCCTATTTCGGCTGTTGGTCCACCGAAACAGACACATCATCCGGAGCAATAGTGATATGCTAGACACCGTCCTCAGTCCCACCTCTGTTGGGAGAGAGCTCTTGAAAGGATTTCGCAAGAATGATCTGGTGACCAACCCCGAGGAAGGGGGCTCAGATCCTGTCTTGCTTCACGTAGCTGCAACTCCCATCCCAGTCTTTGCTTTTGTGCTCCTGCTACTCTCTCAACACCCCTCCCTTGCCTCCAGTGACCTGGAAGAGATTGTAGCCTCTCTGAAATTGTATGTCAGCAGTCGAGAAGAGGGCTTCTGTAGGATCAATGGAGATGTGACCATGATGGTACTGCAAGGCATTGGCAGGGACATTGAAACCTTCAGATACTCAAAGATTCAGGAGTTTGAGACACACAATGTCCATGGTCATGGAATCGCTGATATCTTCAACCTTTAGCTGTCTGATGTTTTGCAAAACGAAGTTTGTGCGCATGCGCGTGATCGCGCGTCCGGTGATGTGCATTATTTGGAGTAGGCCTATAAATGCGGCCTTTCCGGAGGTCGAAGCCTCTTCCGTCCGTTTTCTTTCGAGGGAAACAGAAAGTTAGCACGCTTGCTGACTAGATGGCCTACCTGGTAGCGAGACTGTTCGGTTCCTACTACCTCTCCAAGCAGCGTCACGACTCAAAGGTGCTGCATTACTACCGAAGACCGACGTGGCGATCTCTCCTTCTCTTCCTCAGTACGTGAGCGATGCCCGTGCCTTTTTGTACCGTCAGTACACGTTCACCATAGCTATGTCCTACGTTCGTAATGTGTTGCTTTGATAAAGAGTGCAAAGATTTAGTGGTGTATTCCTAGTACACCCATTGACAGTTGAATGGCAATGTGTTCTGGCATTGTACATGTTTCAAAAGAACACCAATTTTCCATTTGACATGTGGCAAACTACGACAAACTGTGTAAATGTCTGTTTCTGTGTCCGCAGCGTTTGTGGTCCTTTCTCATGTCATCGCCAAAAAAGCCCGTAAGTTTCATTCGAAAACATGATCGTTTCCAACTCAATTGTTTTTCTTTCTGTATATTTCTCCACAGCTCATCCTTATCTTTCTGCTGCTTGCTACATACTGGCTGCCTATTTCAGCTACCTTGTCACGGAGAAATATGAGGTGAGAATAACGAACATACATCTGCCAACAAAGATTGCGAGGTATATCTGAACGATGTATTTCAGGAAGTAATATTTGACAAGGAGAAGAGGAAAGTGTCCATGATGAGCAGCAGGTTCTTTGAGAAACATCTCTTGGGCTACAGGAGAATCAGTAAGTTCAACAGTGGTGGCCTATATACATGTCAGGCTTATAATAGTCTCATAAACAGGACCTTACTTACTTTCCGCAACTCACGTATGTGCAACTATAGTCAGATCACAACATTAACGTCATGGGAAACCGAAGCTTGGTTTTGAGGATAATCAGGACACCCTGCAGATTGCTTATGTGCTCAAAAATAATTTGCGGAGCAAACTTGGTCGCGTTGATGGCCCTGAAATTAATGTTTTCTTCTCTGAAAGCTTCCAGCTTAGTTTGTTCCTATATATGTATATAGCCAAATGCGTGTATCATTCTGAACTCTGTTCCTCTGTGTATATAAGATGTGGTGGAGTTGGAGGAGGTGATGGGAGTGAAGGTGGAGAAACAAAAGATAATGGGGAGCCGGGGGTTCATGGTGAGTGTATGGAACACAATGTCCATCAAGCTTGTAAAAAACCTCTGTCTCAGGTGAGTCTGGTGCTGGATGGCATCACTATTTCACTGACAGCTCAGTGTACATTTGGAGAAAGAAGGTATATACACACACTAGCTCAATATAACTATCTCTCAGAACACCATGGTTAGCAGGCAGGCATGGCACACTAACAGTGTATTTGGTTCATAAATTCCCGCCTTACTTATAATGTACCCTTATCTACCACACAGTGAGCACGACTCAATAGTGAAGGAGATTCGGCAGTTTTTGGATCTCCCGACAGCTGCAGAGCAGGACAAGGCCACCACCAGAGTCCTGACCCAGACTGGTGGCAGGAACATCAAGAAACGGAGAAACAACTAGTTCCCACCACCACCACCACCATCGGTTGAATATAGCCCTCACCCAATCATTTCTCATTCTCGGACACCCACTCCTTTTCTGGCGCTAACATTAGAAACTCACACGCAATACACAGGCGAGTTTGATAATGAACAACGTTACAACGACATACGGCTCACAAGTGACAACGCTAATAGAGTTTAGCATCACTGAGGTACTCTTCCTGCGTGTGAGTGTAGGGCATGAACCCTGGGATACACAGACACATTGCGCTCAATACAGGAGATGACAGAACGACTCCGGACTTACCCATGTGTCGCGCTCTCTTGATCGTACTTGCTAGTCTCCTCTGCTTTTTCATACATAGCTCTGCACAGATCATTATAAAAGTGCATTGAAACAACTATGTATGTATAGCAATGAGTATAATAGAGAGGTTGTGACACAAGAATCACACTGTTCGGTTGTAATACTCTGTATGTAGATACTCTAATTAAAAGGAAAACCTCCCTAAGGTATAATACATAGTTGTTTCGATGCACTGTTGTGTAAACCTCAAAAGGACACATTGACTATATTTTTTCAGTGTGTCTGTTGTGAAAGTTGCACCGTGACTCACTGGTGATGTTTCTGGGCAGGATCATGCCAGTCTGGGAGGAGACAAACTGAGACAGGAACCTCGGATTCTGTGGACAACAGGCACACACACACACACACACACATGTTCATAACATGGCAAAGATTTGTAACACAAACTGGCAAAATTACCATTGGGAAAGCATTCATGAGAGCTGTGTACGAGCTTTTTGCTGATTAAATACAAAGACACCCTTCTTTAGGTACTACTGGCTTATAGCTAACCTTGTAGCTGAACTCCACTTCTCTGGAGCAGAGGCAGTTGTGAGGGCAGTCATTGACACCGGGTAGCTTCTTGTCCAGTAGCGAGGTTCTACCCTATACAGAGTCAGCACGTGAGCTTCACACTGCAAGTTACATAGAGTGTCTTACGGAGGTATGCTGCTGTCTCGAGTGACTGTGGACACCTAGTGCGCGGTAATGGCAAAGCACAAACAGGTTTCGCTAGTAAACGGTGATGCACACTTACTCGGGCAGCTCCGTCTTAAAACTGTCAGACAGTAGGGTCTTTGGAGAACAAGAAGTGGAGAACACATGCTTGTGTGAAGACAGCTTGGCAGGACAGGCTGGAAAACTGGGACTCGCCGGGACTATTATACTAAAATTGACAAGGAATTCTAATTGATGCACACCATCCACGTGTTCGCGGTTTTGCGCGTGCGCTAACCTTCACCCACGTGGGCTAGGTGTGAAAGGGCTGTGGTGTCAAGATGAAGAAAAGAAAGCGCAAGGAAGTAGAGGAGGGAGAAATAAATCAAGAAAGTGAATCTAGAGGGAGCAGCAAGAAAGCTAAAATTGGGGTGGACCCTCTGAAGAAGTTCCTGTCTCTCGTGGAACTGGTGACAGTGCTGCAGGTGATGCCCGTCGTAGAAAAGAGCAGTTTAAACTAGTCTGACCGTCTGGTACCTCATGTATACAGGGCTGACGTATTTCCTGACCACCGTGCAAAGAGAGGAGGATGCTACTCTAATTGGAGCCTACCTCCTACAGTGTCCCTCGGGTGATGCTGTGTTGGCCCCTCTCCAGTGGGGAGAGACAAGCAGACAGCTGACATGGTGGGTGCCCAGAATCGTCTAGTTGTTAGGTGACCCTCTGCAACCAATGTGATGAGTCTCCATGGCAATGAGGCTGTCGTCATGTGACAGTCATGTGATTATCACATCACCGTCATAGTTACACTGATTGGTTGACTCTGTAGCTGATGCAGTCTCTATAAAATCACCCATCTACAAGTCTCAAATGTATGGGCATAATGCAGGACAACTTGTGTCATCCCTATTGTATACTAAGTACTACCTATACTTGTATTGATAAAGAGATGCACATAGTAGCTATGTAAAGTTCCATCCTCTCCTGCAGATGTTGCTATGTTTTGAGTGTCTGGAGGCTATTCTACTGTACACTGCCTCGCTGCAGTCCCAGTCTGATTCTGGTTCTGGAATGGGACAGTCTCCCGGCCACAAGTTAGTGGGTGCCATTCTCCGAGACCACATGCGACCTCTGTACTCTGCGCTGATGACCTCTTGCCCTATGAGACTGGTGGGTGCCTGTCTGCGTCTGCTAACGGCCATGGTAATGCAGGGGCACACCGCTGCCAGGGACGTTCAGCAAACCTTCAACTTTGCCTACAAACCTCTCCTTGTCTTCCCGAACAGAACTAACAGAATAAAGGTATGTGTATAAAGTCATCTGCTGCATTGGGAAATACGTATATAGGAGAATAAGGGCAGATGTGGTGTAATAGCCTTTTCCTGGAGTGCTGTCAGCAGGAAACTTGAGAGGAGAATGTGGAAAATACTAACTTCTCGTTCTGTTGTTCATTCCCAGGAATTCTTCAGAGAACACTTGCACAATTTTTTCAAACTGCACAGTTGATAGCATCTCGAAGTGTTTTATATAGTTTGCACACGGTTGTGATTTTTTTTTTAACGGGGTTTGTCTCTTTCTGTGTCTCTAGGGGACGTCTGACTCTGTTCGTACCTGCTTCGTTAAGTTTGCTCTCTCGTTTCTCATTGCCGGCGACAATGATGTCATAAGAAATATCCTCCAGCTGAAGAGTAAGCCACACCCTTAGCAATACAGCAAATCTATCCACTGTGTGATTTGGTAAAATTTTCGACCGTTTATCTCTGCAGAGTTCCTGTCGTCAGTGTTCAAACTGCTCCCAGAGGATCCAGTGGAATGGTTCATCTCTTCCTCTCCACTCTCAGAGAAAAGGTATCACAATGTATTTACTATTTGCATCTTGTTGCGTGCATATGTAACCACGAGGTTGAGTAATTGACCTATTAGTGTTGGTTGACACACATTCTCTCCGGGTACTCTCTGCTGATTGACGCGTTTGCGTGTAACTTACTGCATCTAGGGGAAACGGTGCTCCGACCTCTGTATTCTGTGCTGCCGGTTCCACGTATGTTTGCTCAATGTGCGCATAATGCAAAGCACCACCGAACGCAACGTTACCGAGCGGAGCGCAAAAGTCTCAATTCTCTCTAAACACTATATGAGGCTCTGTGTATGTTGTCATATTGTCAGGTGTTGAGGAATAGTCGAGTTAGCAAGAGAGCCAAGTCTGCTCTCTTCAACCACTATGCCCTGAAGCAGTTGTCGTGCCTGCTGAGTCTCACTGGGCCGGGCGGGGAGACGATGGGGGCGGGGGGGCCGGGGAAGAGGGAGAGGAGGGGGGAGGAGCTGGAGATGGTGTCAGAGGGTAGCGGGGAGGTGGTGGTTATCTCACTCCGCGACTATGTACTGGAGGTCCTGACTGAGCTCTGCACCAGTTTCCAACTTGGAGTCTGCTATAGGACCAAGACCGATAGTCTGCTGGCTGGGAGGTTGGTGTGATGTATTGTATTGAGTGTATAAGCACTTTAGTGTTGAGGTTGGGTGGAGAAAATGCCCCGATTAATTGTTAATGGTTAACCTGCATGGTTTCCATAAAATATTGAATGTTTGGGAGACTATATACAGTAGAATTTTCCCTTTTTATTGTGGATTTGCTCAATTTCTGCGCTTTCTCCCTCGCCCTCTTTCTCTCTAACATCACCAACCGATCACCTGGTCGGCAGGACCAACAATTCGGCCATTCTCCAGCTCCTCCTCTCCTTCACCGGGTCTCTCTGTGAGCCTGGAGTTCAGAGTCTCGTCTCCGAAGCCATCGCCACGTGTCCCGACCTCCTCACTCCGTACCTGGGGGCTGTCGGAGTTAGCTTCGAACCCAGACCTAACTCCAAGTGGATTGACAATGTTGATTTCCTGAATAGAGTGAGCAACAGGCTGAGTATACTGCCCACTAACATGTATACGTACGCGCTGTGTGTTGTGTTTGCTGAAATGAGGAATCTCCATGGCAATGAGTTGGTCATGTGACCATCATGTGATTATCAAATCACCGTCATAGTTACTCTGATCAGCATCCAACATAATATACGTATGCACACATTGTATATCCTATTACCCAGGGATGACTATGAAATCAGGGTGGCCTAAACTTTTTGTACTTTTAGCCAACAAGTGGAGTGAAGGACAAGCTAGCCTACCATCAATGATACCTTTACTATAGCTGGAGAGTGCAGTGCAACTGAAATGCAACACCCTCTGTGGACTAGAAAATGTGTGCGTGTGGTATATATAATGCATTGAGACACCCATAATAACCAATTTCCCCCAAGTTGCACCCTTTTATATGCAGTGGCGATATGATTGAAGCTGTGCTCCTCTTCTCATCTCTATTTGTGTTGTCTCCAGTTAGTGTGTGGCCTGCCGCCAGTTCCCGAGACTCTGGGTATAATTGGTGGGTGTGGTCATGAGGTCCCCACATCTCTGGTACCAGCAGCAGTGTCTCTGACTGTCCCCGCGGCCATCTCGCGATCCTTCCTCAACCAGGGAATTCAGGTAAGACTCTCCTCTCTCTCTCCTTCTTCTTGGATCAGTGTGCGCTATGATGTTGCAAAGTAGAGGTAAAGCCTAGGACACAACTCTTATTCCTCGACAAGGCATCAAGACAACGTCAAATCAAGAAAAACCAGGGGAAAATGTTTTATTTATATATATAGGCTGGTTCTGTGACGTGTGTCTAGTTTGTAACACATAGTCTCTTTTTCAAGTCCGTTTGAAATTGAAGTGCACATTAGTTAGTGACAGTTGTATACTATGCCCCTTATTGATGTAATAGTCTAGCTCTCCTAGAAGTCGTGTATCAGATACTTGCTACCCATGTGAGTGGTGTTTTGGATCTAGAACCCAGTCCACTGGTGAGGCTAAAGACACTGGATCTGATTCGTGGTATCCTGAAGAGAGCTGTAGCAACGGCAGCATCTCTGAGTGCTCTTGGACCTTCCATACCTCCTGGCCTCGGCTCTGGCACGGGGGCCACCTGTGGTGAAATGAGTCCGTCTGCCAGCATTGGTCCGACTGGTGAGTCGACCAGCCCTAGCATGACTACAGAACCTGATACTTCCGGCTTACCTTGTGAATCTGCTGCCCCTGAAAAAAAACCGCCAGCTACAATCAGGAGGATCCCTGGACTCAAAAATGTTTGATGTGTTTTTAATTCGGGTTATTGAAGCAGCCCCTTAGCTCTAGCACAAGCACGTGCATGAACTCAAGCATTGATGCAAATTGCACATTATGTCTTGTTCTAGCTTCACCTAGGGTTCTGAGTGCGTTGCAAGCTGCATGTTTTTTTTCAGCGTGATGATTAGCCCCCTTCCATGTACTGTTTGGTGGTCTCACAACCTCAGTAACCACGACGTACTCCGACTCCGTCCTGAAGCTACTGCCGGAGCTGAAGACCCTAGTGAACCTGCGACAGACCCTCTGCCAGGGAATGGCGTGTGGGGTTAGCGCTGCGTCCTCTCTGGAGCAAGCCAAGGCCAGCGACTCTTTCTCCCCGCAGCATAGACTAGACAATGCTGGTGAGTGGAGAGTGTATATGTGACCTGCTACGGGAAGAGGTACATTTCCGTGAAATAATTGTAATTGAGTTACACATATTTACAACAAAATATGGCGAAAACCACACCTTTGGAGCTGCTTCCGTTCAAGGGCTACATGCATAAATGCACGCACCCTTAATCCGCACACGTTGTTTCGAGATATTGCGCAATTTTTACAGTTGCATGACATGGGCGAGAAAACCCCCTTGGTTCGATTTTCTTTCTGTAAGTAGTCTAATAATGGAGCTACCAATTGTGTATCTATGATTGTATGTAAAACCTACATTGAAAACCTGGATTGCCATTGCTTCCATATATGTATCATCACGTTCAAGCTCCCCAAGCCTCAATTCGAGCCTTCAATCTCCCCCTACTCTCTCTCTCTCTCTCAGGTCTCCTGGAGGACCCCAGTGGCCTCCTCACTGGCTGTCTGGAGGTAATGAGAGGCTACCAGACCCTCTCTCCCTCCCAATTCCTGCAGGCAGACTTTAACCCTGTCAGACTCCTGCCTTCCCTCGCCCACCTGGCCACTGACAGAGCCACCCCTGTACCTCCGTCTGTACTCACTGCCACTCTGAGACTACTGGAGGAGATCCCTAGTGATTTATTCAAGTGGCAACAACAGGTGACCTGAAATGTACCGTATAATACCTATAGTAGGAAAATGGTAATTTCACAGACATAAGATTTTCGAATAAAAAATTTTGAGGTTGCTAAAAAATTGACGAAGGCCTCAAAATTTTATCCCCTGTTTGTCGACGTGTAGTATAATAATATATGAAAGAGAAGCAGATTTTTGCGATATCCCTGTGAAAGGTTTATACAGCAGTTGTGCTGTGATTGCTGAAATGAGGAATATCCATGGCAATGAAGTGATCATGTGACCATCATGTGATTATCAAATCACAGTCATAGTTACTCCGGTCAACATCCTAACGTATGTTTATATTTGTGAAGATTCACAATCTCTTCTCTGTTGAAGTCTTGCTAGGTATATTTCTTTCTCTCCACTAGAAGAGTGGTGTTCTGTCGTCTCTGCTGTGGCTGGTGGTCTGTGATGGTAGAGACATACACGACGTGGCTCTCAGACTCACTCTGAAAGTTAGTATGCCAGAGCATGGATTTGTGCATTGCGATTTTGTACACTTTTAACTCAGGAATAGAGTTTATTTGCGTTCCACCGTTAATACCGATCCAAAGTGCGCAGAAAATTCTTGACGAGACGCTATGCTGTATGAAAGTGTCAGCGTTGTGGACCAGGCTTTATATGCGTGCACCTCAGTATGGAATCTTCTAGAAGCTACTTTTCAGTGCCTCCTTTATCTTTTTGTCGTCTCCCTCTGAGTCTCTCTCTCTCTCTCTCTCTCTCTCCGTCTCTCTCTTCAGCTGTTGCTGTCAGTGGAGTGTTTCTCGCAGTTGGAGGTGGAGTTAGGGCTGGTCCTAACTGCCGCCAGGAGATTCACCGACCTGTGTCTGCCAGAGAGAGGGTGTGGGGAGGAAGAGGGAAGAGGGGAGGGAGGGAGGGAGGAGGGGGAGAGGAAGCACTTTGTAGGAATGCTGGTGGAAGTTTTTCTGGCAATGATGCGAGACCCGCAACAGTTTACAAAGTTTCAGCAGATATCAGAGACTTTTGATTCCAATGCTGAGTCATTGACAAGCATTTTGGGTACGGAATATCAATTTGGTCGTGGTTCTGCACCGAACTGCGAGTCTCTGTACTTGAATAATGCACTTGCAATCTTACGTTTTCTCTTACTAGATGGC